TAAATATCTACTCAAAAAATGTTAAATTATTTAATACCTTTTTAATAATTTTTAATGTATTAATATTTTAATAATTACTATATTTTACTTTTTAGCTATGAATGAACTATTATTATGTCAAAACACAAGTATTAAACATAATATAGGTAATGATGATGAAGATGATAAAATCACTGGTCCTCATTTAATTAATAGTGATTCTATACAACTATTAAAAAGTAAGCGTCAACTTAAGGCACATTAAAAAAATAAACCTTTTTACTCTATTCACTTTGGTTATAATTCTTTAGCCATTTGTTCACCAAAAAAGAAAATGCAATCACTTATGAAAGTTCGAGTAGCAACATGGTGCAAATCTAAAAGAAATGAATCTACTGTTGTGGTTAAATTATTTCAAGATGATGTAAACATAAATTTACACTTAATGGTAACTAGTTTTGTTAAAATAAACAAACATGTATTGAACAATGTATTTAATATCATTAATTTGTATAGGATTTGTTAAGTCTATCAAAGAGATGGAGTTCGGTGTCTTCAAGTGCTATTGTACGACTGTTTGGTCTATGTGTTGATACACCAACTGCCTTAGTCAGTGAATACTTTGCTTTAGGACCCCTTGATACGTATCTGCGAACCAATAAAGACAATATATTATTTAGCAATTTAGTTGAAGCTGCAACATATATAGCTACAGCATTATGGGATATGGTAAATTTCCTTTATTTTATAAATATTTAATACAAATTTTTCAATTTAATTTCAATGACATACCTCTTAATGAAACAATTATAGAGCATATTATCTTAACAATACACGTTTTTTTCAGTACTATTAATATTTACTTTTTGTTGTATTCTTATTACTAATTAACATATTTAATTTTAGGAAACTGCTTGTTTAGTTCATGGGAAAATTAGATGTCATAAATTTGTAGTAGCTGAACATACAAAAAATTCCTTTATTGTTAAACTTACAGATCCAGGCATTCATAAATGTTATACTAGCCATGAGTAAGTATTTACAATTTATATTATTCAATAATTTTTCAATGAATTTTACCAACATTGTTAAAATTAATTACAATACAAGTATTAATCTGATTAGGGGTAAACATAAAATTCATCAGTATACCATTTATGAAAATTAAAAATATTTTTTGTTTACATTTTAATATTGTTTTTTAGTTTATATTGGATTCCAACTGAGTTTTATAACACCATTGAACTTGCTCGAAAATCTCCTCAAGCTGATATTTGGGCGTTTAGTTCAACATTGTGGGAGTTATTCAACTATGGTATTATATTGCCTGATGTTCAAAATGTTGAGTTGTTTAAAAAAGTGAGTATTTATCATGCTTACAGTTAATGAACAACTCATTTTTTTATAAATATATTTTTTATTTATCAGAAATTTGAAAAAAATATAAGAATGCCAAAACCAGATTGTTGTACAGATGACATTTATCACATAATGACAGATTGCTGGGATAGTGATCCTTTTATAAGAAAAAAACCACAAGCAACATTAAGAGATTTAAGACAAATTTGGCTACAAAGTAAGTGTTTCATTAAAATATACTTGACTGTTTTGCATAATCATTACTAATTTATTATTATTATTATTATTATTATTAAAGTTTATGCTAGTCCTCAACATGAATATACACCATTAAAAAAAGAAGAAATATACTGTGATGATGTCACTTGCTCTGATGCGACAATTTATTGTACTTCAGATTATACAAGTAAGATATAGTTCTATGTACATAATCTTTATGAGTGATGCATTCAGAAATGCTTTTCATATTAGGTAAATTTGCAATTATCATGTGGGAGAGGGGGATCAACGATTACTTCTTAAAAAATATATTATTTATGGATAACAATTAATAATTACTGGGTATATGCTTTTATGGTAACAAGTAACTACTACATTTAATATGTTTTATTATTTTTCCTAGTCGAAACATTTTTGGACACTGTATCAAGCTCTTTTTCGGGTAGTGAGACAAAATCAGATTTTATTGATTTTAATTCTAACCCTGTGCGTAATTATAATATACATTTATTGATCTATTATAATGTACACGTTTAAAAATAATTATTTAATTAATTTTTAGGATGATGGAAGAAGTTATCAAAATGAAAATTCTATGCTTGCAGCTACCAATACAAGTTTTAATCAATTCATGGAACAAGTAAATAAATACTATTTGTCAATCAATAAAATATATATAGTTGTGGCCTATTGGTTTGGTGACTAAGTGTGTCAAGCATTGTCCGGCGTCACTGGCTCTTGGATGGGTGTCCACCCTTGGCTATAAATCATTGGTCCACATAAAAACACATGTTTTAACCTAACCAATCAAAACCTCCTCCCCTGGTCCGAGGGTATAAAAAAAGTTATTCAGGTTCTCAAAATGGAGCTTACCATGAGACCACTTTAAGGGTTTAAATAATATTTATTTTAATTTGAAGCTAAGAATTTTAAACAAAAAAATATTAATTATGTGTAGCTTACATCAAAAGAAGAGATAAAGAACAATATGCAAAGTGCTATGAACTGCCAAAAAAAAACATATCAATTCAATAATGCTACATTGACTTTACAGCAAGTTATAGGACAAGTAAATGTTTTTAATTTAAAACTATATTGCGTTACCAGTGATGGGAAAGTTTTTTTTTAAACAAACTAGTTCAAGTTCAGGTTCATACAATTTAAGAAAAAGACCAGATTAAATTATATTGTTGAAAATATTGTTACAATCAGTTAATACCAGAGATAGTGAATACTATACAATAACAAAAAATACAATTTATAGAATTATGTAAATGTAATATTTCTCATCATACTGTTAATATTTTAGTAGGTACATTTCGCATATAATTTTTGAGCAAACCAATAAATATTAAATACTAAATTGTTGCATTTTTCTAATTAAAAATCATAACAATTACATTTCAATGAAATACTTAGCTCTGTAGGAGTCACCTATATTGTTATAATTATGTTACTGCAAAAGTAATTTTGTTACAGACATTTGCAATTTGTACTTTGTTACGACCCACCACTGGCTATTAGTTATGAATTTCATGTATGAAGGTTGACTTGTCAATGAACGATTTGAAAATGCTCTTGTTCATAAAAGAGAATAAAAACTTATTTTATGTTCACTACTTGGAAATTTAATGCATTTGAGCACTTTCTTTCCCATCACTGTACTTCACTAAAAATGCTAATTATCATTAACTGTCATTAGGGGTTTTATGGAGTTGTATTAGAAGGCTTGTTAGAATATAATGATAAAAAAAACAAAAAAGTTGCTGTGAAGCATATGAAAAGATCATTCCAAACCGAAGATTTTCAAAGAGAAATTGGAATTATAGAGGTAAGTCTTATTTAATTGCTTAAGAAATATATTGTATACATGTTGTTTGGTTTTCATTTTAGGGACTTAGCCATCCAAATATTGTTGAAATAGAAGGTGTACTAGAAGAACCAAATTTAATGCTCGTAATGGAATATATTGAACTAGGTTCATTAAGTAGTTACTTGCGATTACATGAAGATGAACTTGTAGAGGAAACTGATAGATTATTAAAATACTCTTTAGACATTGCTCAAGTAATTATAATTTTGTATTTTTTAAATATATTATCATTTTATTAAGTACTAATATTTCGATTTTTGTTATTCTATTATATACATTTAACAATAAACTTACACAATAGTAAGCATTGATAAGTATATGCATAAAAATACTTTAATTCATAAAAAATTACTTTTTAACAAAATGTATTTTTATGTATTAAATTGTGTTTTAAGTATAATTAATTTTTATTTTAGGGAATGGAATATTTAGGAAGCCTAAATATAATACATAGAGATTTAGCTACTAGAAATATTTTGGTATCGAGTCCAACAGTTGTAAAAATTTCTGATTTTGGACTTGCTCAATTTCTACCTGATGAAAAATACTATTACTTACAAACAATGAGAGATTTGCCTTTGAAATGGTGAGTTTGTTAAGAAGTTTTATGAAAATGTTGATGCTAAATCTTAAATTGTACACTTCTAGGCATGCTCCAGAGGCTATTTTGTATGGAAAATTTTCTCCAAAAACTGATATTTGGGCATATGGTGTATTACTTTTTGAAATTTTTTCGTTGGGTAAAGAACCAAATGTAGTCTCTAAACTGGAAGAAAGGCTAGATGTTGAAAAACTAATAAGAGTTTTGGAAGAAGGTCACCGTTTACAATGTCCATCATGCCCTCCATGCACCCTAGACATATATAACAAACTTATGAGGCCTTGTTGGGCTTATGTAGCAGGCGATCGTCCAAATTTCTCAGATTTAATAAATAATATTAAATCACTTATGACCATTGAACAGGCTGAACATTTTACACACGGATAACAGGATAAGATGTTATCTTGACTTATTATTATACCAGACAATCGACTTATATTTAATATTTAAGTGTTTGGAACAATCAAAATTATTATGAAACAGCGAGAACTCAAAACTCGAGAATAGTAGAATGAAAACTGTTGTTAAAATAAGTACTTAAAATATCTTAAGTGGTAAATATGTATAGTTTTCAAGAACTATTGAAAATAAATATTTAGAAATTGCACACTAGTAATCTAGTCAAACAAAATAAATATGTTACTATGTATGTTTTTAGCCTTAAATATTTTGTTTTATTTAAGGTATATACGAAGAAACAGCGGAAACCAAATATTATTGTATATATTATGTTTAATACCATTTAATATTGATACGTTATATGCATGTTAAGATTTAATTTAACTGTATCATGTATGCTAGTTACTCGAGTACTGTAGTTATTATTTGCTTAATTTAAAAAAATGTTACTTAATATTTGTATACAATAAGACTGTACCCATTATGTGAATTGGAAAACCTAGTATTTAATAATCATAATTGAATATAAAGGATGTTTGTTAAAAAATACTGTCAAAGAAAAATACAAGACTTTTTAGAATAAACTGTATTGTACTTAAAAATAAAATACAATTTATTTAGCTATGGTAGAACTACATTTTCCACAGTAGAATCTGTTGGGCATCTCGGCCATGAATACTCCAGGCCCACAGTTTTCAGCAGCACATTCTTTCCTTAATCTATGCACCTTTCCATTTTCGTCAACCTACAAATAATGATAATAATTTAATTTTATGTATAAGATATTTTAAGTTTTAAAGGTAACATTAATTTAAAATTCTTACCTTATAGAACTTAAGAATTCCTAACTTGATTTTCTTCTTCTTGTGTTTGATCTTTTTTGGTGTGGAATAATTTTTCTTCTTACGCTTCTTAGCACCACCTCTTAAGCGAAGTACTAAGTGAAGAGTTGACTCCTTCTGTATATTGTAATCAGATAATGTGCGACCATCTTCCAATTGCTTGCCAGCAAAAATAAGACGCTGTTGATCCGGGGGAATGCCTAAAAAATTATTATATATTAAGTTTTAAAAGACAACTAGGCAATAATTAAGTTTACTTTGAAACATTGTATTTCGTCCAAATAAATTTGTATTATATATCAAATAAATTGTATGTAAACAATCTACCTCATAAAACAATTACATGGTTTTCATGAAAAAAACATTTAAATATCTGGTGGCACCCAGACGGATTATAAGTACTGCAACTGCAGGGGGGGGGGGTGTTCAAATAACTGATATCACAGAAAAGCTTATGTATAAAATTAATTAACTATACAATTAATTTCCGAGGAACATTTTTGTTATTATGTTTGTATAATTGTTAAGTGCAGTTAAAACAATTTTATACAGATAAAGGAGCGAGAAACCTACATTTGTCAATTACATGTTATTGGTAAAAATGTTAAGCCACATTGGAGAATATACTATAGCTTTTTGCAAAGCTTACATATGACGATTAGTTGGTTTCCTGTAATTTTAAATTCTTTCAATAACCATCAACTTTTCAATGTTTTACATCTACTAGGTGTCCTGCGACGTATTACTTTTTAGTTTTTTAAGATGCCCAAGTGCAATATTAATTTTTAATTTTACATAACATTCTTTAATGGAGAATTATGATAAAAAAACGAATTTCAAATTATTATTTAATTAAGTAGTTAGGACTTAGGAATAGAGGTTTTTACATATATTTATTGAATGAGTGCAGCTCAACAGGGATGAGAAATGTGGATGACTAATTCATTACACAATTTATTGAAAAAATGTATTTTGAATATTAAAGCATATTTTAGAGATAAGACTATTTCGGCCTATATTTAAAACTAAAGGTTTTAGTGATAGATAATTAATTCAATACTTGTTGGGAATAATGCACACACATTACATGTTAATGATCTAAATGTAATGTACATAGTAAATAGTTAATGTTGCAAAGCTAATACAAAAAAAAAAAAAAAATGGTAGGTTTTGATGACATAATTGTTTTTGATTTTGGATACAACCGTTATAACTGCATTAAATTTACTTTATTTGAAAAACTGTTTAATATACACAGAATGTCAGTGAAGTTTGGTTCTGTCGAATATACAGTAGTATGGTCAATAGGTGCATAATTCAAACAGGAGAAATCTAGAATTCAATCATTGATACTAAAATTTACCTTCTTTATCTTGGATTTTCGATTTTACATTTTCAATAGAATCTGATGACTCAACCTCGAGAGTAATTGTTTTACCCGTGAGGGTTTTAACAAAAATTTGCATCTTGCCCTATAAAAATAGTAACAATGTTATTAGTCTACGGATATTATTTAAATCCTTAATAGTTGATACTATTGAAGTTAAAATAAAGTCACCAAATAAAATTGATAAATATTTTAATTAATAACTATAATACATAATATTAAGCTAATATCCAAATCAGTTATTAAATTAAGCAAATCATATTTATTCTACTAAGAAATAAATGTACTTGAATCAAATCATTATTTAAGCACTAGGATACTTCTAGTAAGACAAGTTCATGTTTACTTCATATTATAATTATAATTTATTATTGATAATTAACATTACGAATTGTGGTTAAACTATCATAATTCATAAAACAAAACCAAGTGTTTTAACCTAGAATTCCAACAAAAACCGTATAGTTAACAAACAGAACATTTTACATTTTTGAGGTCAACAATAAAATATTAAGCAACAAAAATATACAAAATAAACATTATACTTACGAATCAACTTCGCACAAAATGAAAGGCCAGCCAAAACTCAAAATCGACTTCAAATCGGAGCCATAAGTGAAAGAATTTACGACAATTATGGTACATATAACCTCTAAAAATTTGACAACTACAACAAGCAAGCTGTGACTTTGGAAAACTAAAAATGTCTTAAAGAGACAAGCTTAGACAATGTTGGCAACATTGTTATTATTTTACTTGCTTGTCTCCATGTTAATGAAATGAGTTAGCTTATGTTTATGACGTTCTTTTCGTCTGTATATAGTTAAAAGCATAAAATGTTTTCTTAATCGCATAGATCATATGAGTTATAATATTATCATAGAACAATATATATATTATGTATGATATTATACAACATAATATAATATTTTCATAGCAATAATTAAAAGTATTATATTTTTCACTAATATTTAATTAGGTTACACTGTAGTCTCTTTGGCAATTATTTTTTAGCTTTATCATATTTGAGTTTAGTTCCCGCCAAATGATTATTGTAAAAATTGATTATAATTTTATACTTGAGTGAATTAGTACACTAGTTAGTAGAAACTTTGAATTGTTCGATTGTCTCTTGAATCTTGATAGTTAAAAGTTATTAATCATTACTCATTGTCTTAGTGTAGTTGCTTACAGTCTACCATAGTTCTTTTCAACAATATTAATTATTGTTCGTTCTGTTTATTTAATTTTAAAATTTCTTGATTTAGTTAAAATGAGCCTGTGGGCAGATAAATATCGACCTAATTCGTTACAAAAGGTCGATTACCACCAGGATCAAGCTCAGCATTTAACAAACCTCGTTAGTACATTGATTTAGCAGTAGTTGTACTAAATTGTGTTGTTGTTTAATATTTTTTTTAAATACATAATTGTTTAGGTAAATCAAGGCGATTTTCCACATCTACTTTTTTACGGACCCAATGGTGCTGGAAAAAAGACTCGTATTTTAGCATTATTACGACAACTGTATGGCCCTGGTGTTGAAAGATTACGCACTGAACACATGAACTTCATGGTATAAAACCAATATAAATCTATGTCATCCATTTATTTAATAATTTCTTTATTGTTTTTAATAGACTCCTTCAAATAAAAAATTTGAGATAATGACTGTGGCTAGCAATTATCATATAGAAGTAAATGCTAGTGATGCTGGTATGTATGACCGCATTGTAGTTATGGAGCTCATAAAAACTGTTGCACAAACTCATCAATTAGATTCAACTAAGCAACGGCACTTTAAAGGTAATATATCCCAAGTTAACATTTATTAATCATTAGCTTTTTTTTTATTTTATATTTATGTTACAGTAATTTTATTAACTGAAGTGGACAGGCTTACTAAAGAAGCCCAACAAGCTTTGCGACGAACAATGGAAAAATATATGGCTACTTGTCGTATTATTTTGTGTGCTAATTCCATTGGTCAAGTGATTCCAGCCATCCGTAGTAGATGTTTAGCTGTGCGTGTTCCAGCTCCTACTCATGAAGATATTTGTAAAATTTTAAAAGTAAACCAGATTTTTCAATAACTAAAATAAGTAAAAAAAAATGTACTCTAGTACATTAACATATTTCAACTGTCAAAAACCATGGGGAATAAAAACAAAGTGAGAAATGCTCCCATTTGATTTTAAAAAGCAGATCAGTTGGCTGATTTTACTCTTAGATCTTCAATTGTTATTGGTGAAAAAAGGATGCCTATTTTTATAATTGTCGAAAAAAATATAATATTGTGTTCTGTAAAATTATTTATTGTTGCAACAATAATTAATAGTTGAAATACCTAAACATATGGGAGTATGTATAATATAATGCTTTTGAAGAAGATGTGTAAAAGATCATATTAATATATTATACATTATTATGTATTTAGTAATAGTATAGTGGAATTAACTATGAATTATAATTTTCATTGTTTTCCTAGCGACCCATAATTATATTTAAATATAATATGTTGTTTACAGATAAATCTTATTCGTGTTTTCCTTTGTTACAGAATTTGATCTGTATAATTAATTTTTGTCTAAAATAAAATTAACATTAAACATTTTATGCATAATATGAACCAATGTGTTTTAAATCACTAATTATCTTGCATTTTTCATAGACAATTTGCAAAAAAGAAGGATTAACATTACCAGATGAGTTGGCTTTAATTATCTCTCAGAGTTGTGAACGAAACTTAAGGCGAGCAATACTAATGTTAGAAGCTAGTAAAGTAAAACAGTTAGTATTTACATGTTTATTTGATGTTATTTTTTAAATAATTATTAGAAATATTTGTAATTCAATTTATTTTTGTAATGATAGGTATCCTTTTGATGTGAAGCAAAGTGTTGTTGTACCAGATTGGCAACTTTATATTGGTGATACTGCCAAACAAATATTAAGCCAGCAAACTCCTGGAAAATTGCTCGAAGTTCGATCCATGCTTTATGAATTGATAGTTCACGGCATTCCAACAAATGTGATTTTTAAAGTACGTAAAATTAAATTATATTATTAATCATACAGACATAATTTCTATGAATATATAATTTTCAGTTTTTACTCAAAGAGTTGGTGAAAAACTGTGACATTTCATTGAAACACGATATTGTTGAAATTGCATCGTTTTATGAACATAGTTTATTGAAAGGTAATAAAACCATGTTTCATTTGGAGGCATTTGTTGCCAAATTTATGTTACTTTATTCAAAGTTCATGGAAGAGTCATTAAATGGTATATTTTAATTTGTATTTTGTATGTTTTGGCTAGATTTCTACTGGCCTTAAATTAATTGTAAAAAGAACATTGTACACTTAATCACTATTTAATTCTTATAATACAAAGATTGAATATTTTTTAATTATGATTACTCTCTTAATAGCTTCTTAATTTTCCAAGAGTCTTAGCAGTAAATCATTAACCATCTCCCCATTGCTTGGACTATTTTACTCCAATGTTATACGCTTTTAGCCCTGTCAAACTTCAGTTCATCGGTCTTTTCTGAACTGGTTGATATCAAGTAGCTAATTACCATGTAAATTATTTACATTTTACTTTTGTCATATTCCACTTCCATTTTTAATACATTTAATGAAAATTATATGTATTTATTCAAATTACTAGTAAAATATAAATATTGGAAACAAATGAATTTAAACTAATGCCAAAGTACACAAATATTTTATTGACGAACGGTCATAAAAAAAGTATGATTCAGGTTTCAGTAAACTAGGTATCCAGTTAGTTTTATGTAATATAAAAGAACACATTATAGCATTCACATACAATTCTGAGTACAAATTGATATACCAACAACTGGTAATAATTATGTCAAAAAACGATTATTGTTTTATATTTTTAATAATTATATTAAAAATTACATCTAACAGTTTTCACTGTATATTAATAATAATATGATAATTATCAAACCAATTTACCAAACACGAGTTTCAGTTCAAGTAATAGCCAGTAAGATGTATACTACATGTTTGTTGGCAAGAAAACACAACACTTGATCCAGAATCTAATTGTACATCTATATTTGATTGATATTTATTACCTTCGTGTAAGTGACATATTATCACCTCTTGATTGTTTGTGGATGATTTTATTTTTAAAGTGAACTTAAATCGGTTGTTAAGCACAAATTGAGGTGTTTCATATTCAAATGTCCAGTCCATTGGCCGTCGAATAAATGCTCCATAATCAATGTCTATAATGGCCATTGTGAGACGCAATGTCTTTTTCACTATTATAGTTTTATTTATACCACATTTTGGACATAAAGTCTCTGTATGTTGTCGAAACATATTCACACATGAATTTACATCGTTTGGTGTCAAAATTAATGAAAAAAAAGTCATATTTATTTATACTTCAGAATAATTTGCTAACTAAGTGTGTGTGACTGAAAAAAATATTAAATTGTCATTAACATTCTCTGGTTATATACAATATAATTTTTAAATCTTATCTGAAATACGCTATTTTTTAGGTTAAACCTTCAAACTATTTTAATATAATCATGGGTCAAGCAAATTGTGTACATATTATTTCCATAATATAAATACATGAAACTAGATAAATAAATGGCCTATGCTAGTTCACATAATGATAATTTCAACAGTTTGTGGTTTAAAAAAAAAGATTAATATAATCAAAGAACTATTTTGTTTACTGTTTTTATTTAAAAGGAAAATAATTTGATACAGCAATAAAGTATTAACTAATTACAACAACAAATTAATAATATAATAATAAAGTACTATTTATTAATGTATTATTAAATACATTGATTTTGAATTGTTGGTATAAACGAGATTTGATACTGGACAGATGACCAAAAAATTGAACTAACCCACTATATAAAATAGATAACACATAATAAAAATAATACAACTTTTTATTTTACTTTAAACTTCGAGGTCTAAAACAGATTAATTGAAAAAAAAAATTTTTGTAGAATGATTTACTTCAAGAAGACTGGTGTAGATGATAAATATGTGTAAAACGTGCCAACATTGTATTAAATTTTTCTAATTATTTGCATTTTCCACCAGATATCATGTTCTGTATTGGTACAATAGTTATTTATTTTTAAATGTTGCATAAATACATAAACAGTTTTGGAACATTCACTAAAAAACTGAATTCATGCACGTCCGTGTTTTTTTTTTTCAAATTTTCATTCTTGTTCATTGAAAAAATGAATGCGTTCATCACTAGTTTGTTCATTAAAATTTTTTTTATAGGAATTATAATAAGAAAATTAATCAATATATTTTAAACTTATATTTAATAAATGGTAAGTAAATTGAGTTTTAAAAATCGCTCAAATTCAATAAAATATAAACGTCATTGAAAAAATGAAAAATTTGAAAAAAAACAAGTGACGTTTGCACGTTCACATTTTGTTCAGTCAACGACGTTCTTTCCAAACACTACATAAATTTGACTCATTCCAACAAATTAACAAAATTATGTTCTTGTGCACTTAAGGTTTTCCATTTAAGCTATTCCAAAATTTCTAATAATTCAATTTCATACAAAATAATAAAAGTAAAATCTATATTTCAAATCAATTATTCATCTTTAATTATTGCCTCAATTTGAAGTATAATTTTAAACCATTGTACTTATTCGTAGTGTTGGGTAGTAACATAACACAAATTACAAATAAATGTTGCAGCAATGCTGTAGTAGTTTCTTTATATTTTACTTAAATTAACTTAATTATAACCTCAATAATTAATACTTACAAATTGTGTTCATGTATAACATTAAGTCAAATGTGCATTATCGATGTCATACTCATATCTAATACCTATTTGCGTTTAAGAGGACGTGATACCTGCATGTGTTGTCTCTGTCTTACAAGTGTGTAACATAGCAAATTTTACGCTCAGCAGAACACGTGTAGCTCCGTTATTGTATTTTAAGACGTATAAAAAAATTACAATTTTAAAATACTCATCATTCGTGTTAAAATTAAAGTAAAAAGCCTATGAGGTTGCCTGGATAATAATCTTACCTTTAGATTTTATAAGAGGCCAATTCAATTTAATTTTTAAATTAACGGAGCTACACGTGTTCTGCCGAGTGTACAATTTGCTATATTACGCACTTGTAAGACGGAGACAACACATCCTCTTAACATTATACTCATTAGTCATTATGGACTGATGTTGTAATTCATTTTTTAGAACGGTAACATTGTTTGTAACGCCTTACTTTCCAACGTTCTATTAATATGTATGCATTTTTGAATCTAGCTTAATATTATTAGCATTTAGAAGTTAACTATTCATCACTACCTATGATATCAAGAGTAAAATTCTATATTATGTTAATCTTTTTACTTGCCTCAGCATATTTTTTTCCAAAAATTCTCAGAACTTCAAATCAGAATATTTAATTCTTTTTAAAATATTGTAGAATTTTTTTTAGACTTTACTTAAAATAAATTTGAGTCATATCAAGTTTAACTATTAATGCAAAACTTCTTTTAGTTTGTGATAAAAACTAAGATGGACTGAGCCCAGCATAATATGCATAATATATTTTACTCGTTAATGATGGTAGATATAAGAAAACTCACATGCTCATGATAATCTACCAATTTTGTTAGCATAAACATTCAAGTGAACTCAGTGATGTGACACAATATCAAACTAATTATACAAGGCATCTCATTCATCTTAAAGTAAGTTATACCTGTGTCAGATTTTCACAAGTTTAATTTTGTGTATAAATGGAACATATAAATTCCAAGCAACAAAAATATACATTTATTCCATCTTAGTTTCAGAGTAGAGCTAACCAAAATAATTAAATAAATGGTTCACCTTTCAAGGCACAGGGATAATAATATCTAAAAACTGTGGTGCAATTATTTAACACTTTCACTTCCGCTGCCGATCATGGATCAGTGTTAATAGTAGAGCCCTTCTGGCCACCGCCGATCCGTGATCGTCACAGTGCATATGGAAAATACACCCCTACAATTAATCGGCCACAGAGGCACTGTTTTATTATTTATCCGGCCATTCAGAAAACAGAACATTTTTGTCAGTCGGTTTTAGGTTTCCCGTGTTTTTTCGAATACTTTTATTGCCCCGAGTATGTTATCCGTAGACACGCAATGTGTGGCACCAGATTAGAAATATACATGTGACAGTGAACGTGTTAAGCAGCATAGACCTATAAATATTTAAATATCATATTTGTATGGAATAATAAAAGTTATTTATTTAGTATGTTTCTCCAATAAAAATAAAACATTATTAGCCCTTAGCACTTTAATCATATGATAGATTTTAACATCAATATATACTATCAACAATTTGTCAACACTTAAGAGAATTAAATGTACATAATTTTATTCAATACTAACATCCACAAAAATTATGTAATTTATTATGTGTATTATGAACTAAGTGATAATTTTGCTCAGAAAAAATAAGTTGGATCATAAATAAGGTATTTAAATAAAAATGATTTGACTTCAATACTTCTAAAATTATGAATTAATTATTTATTAAAAGTCATTCTTATACAATTGGTAAATTATTGCTATATAGTTTAGAACAGAAATTCTTTCTACAATTAACAAAAATTGTTAGCAATTTAAAGTATTATGAAGTATAATAAACAATTGTATACTTATATTGTTTCAAATGTAGTTACTGTAGTTATTTTTACTTTTGTTTTATTTAACAAAAACGGAATACTGATATATTGTTTGTGGCCTTTGTAGAAAAATGAATGGTAAATAACAAAAAATTCATAGGAATATCAGTCGGAATAAAAAACATATTGGATAAACTTAATTAACATGTTTTAGTTCTACATCAAAAACTAAAGTACTATTGGGTGGAATTTCAGGTGGACTGCCTTTAGCACCATATCTGAAAATAAAAACAAAATTTTTTTTAACATACACATATTAAATTTAATAGAATTTATTCTTTAATATTTATATTACACTAATGAGTAACTCAGTTTAGGACACCAAAAGAAGAACATCGCTTAACTAATTGAAAATTATGCAACATCAATTAAAAATTTTACAATGGAAAAAAATTGTTATGTTAAAATTATAATTTAACAAAACGATTCATTTTTATATATTTAACCAGATTTAAAATATTAAGAGGACGTGATACCCGCATGTGTTGTCTGTCTTACAAGTGCGTAACATAGCAAATTGCACGCTCAGCTGAACACGTGTAGCTCCGTTAGTTTAAAAATTAGTGTGAATTGACCTCTTATAAAATCTAACTTGTAAGACAGATACAACACATGCAGGTATCACGTCCTCTTAACAGTTATTTAATATTTTACTACTAGATGATGGCAAGTGTCACCTGGTATCATAAAAATATTTCTGAATAATGTTACTAATTATCCATAGATGTAGACAGCCTTTTAGGCTAGGAATGTCTTATTATATTAATAATAATAAAAAAAAATGCTCCTCTCATAATATTGAGATGGTGTCTTAAGTCCACATCATAATTATAATATATGGTGTAAGAATAGCACCTGATCTTTCATAATTTGTAAGGTACAATAAAATTTTTTTCTTTTACTCTTCGGTTATGAAAGGTCATGTTAAATAACTTAAATAAAATTAGTATCAGAAAATATTACTTACGCCATATTTGGTGGACATATAACTTTTCTTTTGCCTCCAACTTTCATGCCAGCAATACCAATATCCCAACCTTTAATTACCTCACCACGTTGTAATCCAAAGGTGAAGCCAGGTCCTTTTTGCATTGAATCAAACACTTTACCAGTTGATTTCAGACGACCAATATAATATACTTTAACCTATAAATTATAAAACAAATTTGTAAGTATAAAATCCAAATACTAAAATTGATTAATATGTACATTTTTTCCTGGTTTTGCTGTAGCACCATCACCAACTTTGAGATCATGAATGATAACTCCACCGTTTAACTTCTGTTGTTGATTTTGCTTATCTTTGGGTAATGGAGTGTCTGGTTTAGTCTTTAATGCACTAAGTGGGGTCTTAGGTTCCTTGTTTTTCTTTTTTTTACTACTTTCCGTTGAACCCTAAAATGTAAGAAAAAAACAGTAATAAGATTAATGTGAATAATCTTCTTGGAAAGTTCAGATTGCTCTAAAATATGCTAGATATAACTTTTGGGAGTCGCCTAATATCTATTTAATTTTTGAGCAATCATTTTTCTAGTATGGTGGTTCATTATGGGGATGTACTCTGCACAAATTAATGTTTAATCTACTACCTTTAATATATTGATTTTAATTGAAAAAACAAAATTGTATCATGCTCATTTAATTTACTCAGTCGTGAAGTTAGAAATATTTTTCTAGTTTACGAACAAGGATTTATATAATATTATACATCAAATAAACTTACATTTATCAAAGATTGATTGGCGTCAGGTGTCTTGGGCATTGGAGTCTTTTGACCTTTTGGTGTTTTTTCTAAGCCTTTAGGGGTTTTCTGTTCTTTTTTAGGAGACTTCTGTTCATTTCCATTCAATTGTTTTTTAGGAGTTTTTTGTTGTTCTTTTTTGTTTTTAGTCAATACTGGTGCATCTTCAGCATCACTATCTTCTTCGTCGTCATCATCGTCATCATCATCTTCTTCATCGTCGTCGTCATCATCGTCATCTTCGTCATCATCATCATCAAGCAAATCGCTTACTAAACACAATCATAATTATAAGTATAAAAACATTTAAAATTGTATTTTAAGGCAAAGAAGTTTAATACTATTGGAATACTATAAGAGCAGTGACAAAACCCTATGGAAATAAGAAAACCACAAAGATGGTTTAAATTTTATAAAATAAAGGATTAGGAAGATTTCTATTTTAGGATTGCACGTGGAAAATGTAAGAAATTAATAGATGGAATTTGTAATTATTTAAAATACAAAATTTTTATTGTTGAATAAATGGTATTATATTTTTCAGGTCAAAGAAATAATTAAAAACAACTTAACAAAAACTTACTTTTTAATCCTCCATCTTCATCGCTATCATCTTCAAAGTCCATAATTTCATCATCAGATTCACCATCATCATCACTATCTTCATCAGACTGATTATTCTCGTCCAATTTAATAGATTTATTTTTTTTTGGAATATTATCTTCTAATTTTCGCTTATTGCCTGTTAATTATTTTAAGATATCATGCAAGATGTTAATATTATTACATGGTTACAAACAATAGCAGCACTAGTTTCATTACTATGATGGATAATATGGACAATTATGCTACTTATAAACATACTTAATACCATCAAAATTGATAACTCGACTATATATTAAGGAGATTGGATATTTATGTAAAAATGTAGTGGGGGCTTTGGGTGGTTGGACTATATTTCAGAAAACTAATTGGAAATTTAGTAATTGTGAAGTAAATGAAGTAATTGATTGGGACATTTATTCTTTCAGTTATAAAAGTTGAGATATTTAAAATTAAACACGGTTTTTTTTTTAAACATTTATAAAAGTCAAGATATTATTATTAGGAGAAATCCCTCTTTTTCATGGTGTTTGATTAAAAATTATTACAATACTACAATTTGAGAGTAGCATACTAAATATTAAATTATGAGGTACAGTAAAAACTCAATTAACACCATCAACCTTTGTTATCCATCATTGGTCACCATAAAAAAAAGTTAATGTTGTCATTGTGATAATATATACATTATCAACTGTAAGCAAATAGTTTGCAATATCCAAATTAGTGATACACACAGAGTTGAAGAACAAATTGAAGTTTTTAAACATTACAATAAATATTTAAGTTAATCGTAAAATTTCTATTAACTGTCATAGTCCAAGGCCTGACAGTGACAAGTTTCTACTGTACCATTTACTGTACAGAAAATTTCATACTTAACGGGTACTAAAATAATTAATACAGGATAATTAAACACCAGTATTTATATATGACAATATATTATCAGAACTCGGACATTAATGACGATAAAATGTGCAATTAATAATGCTAAAATATATATAATTTACCTATTTTATTCATAAAAAAAGAGGTCATAATAATTTTAAAAAATAATATTATTATGAATAAGTATTTGAAATTACTTTATTACAAACAATGCAGCTATTAGTATGATAAAAAAAAATTTATTTGTTGATGATTAAGCACTTAAAGTATCAGGATTACACAGTAGAATAATTATTTTACCAATATATTCAAATTTGAAAGACCTCTGAAGACTTGACAATATGGTTTTTAAATAAACTATATAATCTCTCAGTTTTCAACAGATTTTACTCATTAATACAATTAACAATGATAATCAAAATATTCTAAAATAAGTCTGGGTATTAGTTCGGCCGTAGCGCTCAACATGTTCATACGGTTTTCTCTCCGTTATTGCCGTGGTTCGTTATAGTACACTCATTAAATATTATCATTGTCAATAATCGGTAGATATCATGGACTTACAAATGCTTAGTTTCATTAAGGTCGGCGATAAATTTGTCTTATTGAAGAATCAGGCTCAGAGTATGAGTCCCGTTTCTTCCCCACTTACTCCTACAAAAAATCAAAACGCAACCTGTCCAATTCGTCTTTGTCACCTACTTCTAGTGATAAAAAATCTAAAATATTCATCACACCAAACAGATAAGCCGTTCTCGACAGCGACGAAAACAATTCTACTACGCCATCTATTAGTTCCATAATTTCTCATGGTAACTCACAGATTCCTGATTAGGGCGATGATACTCCAGCATCACCAATTTACATCAAAGACAACTCTAATTACTCATCATTCAAAAACCTCTTAACAAAACTTATCGGTCTGACTGGATTCACATGCAAATCATCAACATCGTACCTTATTGTTCAGCCCTCGAGTATGTATAATTTCAACATAATTGTGAAACATTAAAAGGATACTGACGCCAAAATCCACACTTTCAAGCCCCGTCAATACCGCTCAGTCAGGTTTGTCATCAGAAATTTACATTTCTCTACCGCAGAAACCGATATTGTTTTAGCTCTATTTGAACTGGGACATTCTGTCGCACGAGTTCAAAACATATTAGATAAAAACAAACGCCCCCTACCTATTTTTTGTGGAAGTTTCCCAAGATGCTAATAATATGGATATCCTTAAAATCTCGTCTTTACTCAATACAAAAGTCATAATAGAAAAACTACACAAAAAGAATCGCGGTTCTCCGTAATGCCAATCATACGGCCACAGGCAAAATTATTGTTATCATGCCGCGCGCTGCATCAAATGCAGTGCAAATCATCACACTAATGAATATTCCAAAGATCGGAACAGTCCTGTAAAATGCGCCCTTTGCTCCTTGGATCACAAATCGAACTTCAAAGGATGCCAGACTTTCAAAAAATTTTTTAAAAAAATTCCTCAAAATGTTCCACTTACCAAGACTACGGATCACCACTCTCAACCAGAGTCCAAAACATATGCGGAAGCTATTCAAAATCAAGATATTTACACGGAAAATCCATCTGCCATCTTTTCCCAATTTATATCTAATTTAAATGCCTTAATCAGCCCACTAATGACTCTACTTTCATCTGTTTTAAATGCACTCGTTGCCAAAAATATTATCTAATATTTTTCTGTTTCTTTCAACCTCTCTCATTACTATTTATCTGTTGTTGTTATTAAACTATAAATATAATTTCTTTACTTATATAATTGGGTTTAAACTAACCATGATAATATGTTATGAAATACATTGCTTTAGTTATTTATTAATTACGTTGTATATTATGTCTGTTCAACCTACACCTGTATCAATACCTACTAGTTACTTGGGTGTAATTCTGATCGGGCAAAAAAAAATATGCGGTCATAAACGTCTGAGCTCTAATCTTTATATATTATAAAATAAATAAAAAACTTGACTTCACAGTTAAGTTCTATATAAAAATGAAACGATCTTCGGAGATCTTGAACAACAACTTCTACAGAATATTTATGTAAAAAGTACCTTTATCTTGAACTGGTTTTTTCTCAATTTGTGTTCCTTCATCTTCAGATTCGCTTTCTAACTCAGAATCAAATTCATCGTCTTCGTTTAGTTCTAAATAACCTATACATTTATAACAAAAATATTAATTTACATTTTTTAACCAATATTGTAAATCAATAAATACCAGTCATATGTATGTTGGCAGTAGCTGATGTAACAAACTTCAAATCTGTTCCTCGTGGGAAAATATGATCCAATCTGCATTGGAACAGTTTTGATGCTTTAGACAAGTGACAAAGGATTACACGTGGGTTATCATCAGTTTCAACATAGACAGTGTGTACATCATCAGCTGTATAAAAACACCAATATTAACGAATCAATTGTTAACAATGTTAATGTAGTGATAGGTAAATTATATATAAATCAAATTTTTTAACATGATACATTAAAACCAAAATGTTGTGGTTTGGCTTTATTTAGAAAATTACAACAGTTTTTAATACACCATCCTTGATTTAAAGTATTATCCATATGGTGGACACTTAACCCCCAATTGAATGGATAGTTTGATATTTATATTTGACATTAGCGAATATATTATTTACTATTATTGTGTGCATCTTTAAACCCAACCCAGACCAAGAAACATTTGACGTAGGCGAAGTTTCAAACATTGTTGTCAATAAATATCAGTTACTGCTTATGATGGGAAATCTGAAACTTTGTAGACCACAAATTTTTCTTTAGTTTGGGCTTCACAATTACACAAAAATAACTGTCAGAACAGGCATAACCACCTTTGCCAGGTAGTGTAAATTAGTTATCAATAGAACAGAAGGATTTTATAACTCGCCTAAGCATTATTAAACATACTTTAATTGCAAGATAAACAAAGTATGGCTAGTAAGTAAAAATGTAGAAGCTAAAACAAAAATGTACAATTACCATCAACGAAATAGAAAATTAAAAATCATGAGCGGGCCATAAATCATGCATAAATTAATAAAACCACAATTTTACAAACAAATAATATTAAGCTACAATTATTATTCAATAAATGACATTCTAACATGTAATTAAATATTTAATTTGATTTAATTTAGTTACACAATAGAAATATATGTATACGCTTGATACATACCTTTTTTAACGCTTTCTAAATCAAGTGTAGCCATAGAAAGATGGAATGTGTTCTCGACAACCGTGCTGTATTTTTTCCCGGGTTCCATTACTATGCCTGTAAACGCGAACATCGTTTTGTCAATATATATTTATGAATAACCAAGACGCATGTAGTTATGCTTTACAAATATTAATCTTGTCATGCAATTATTAAATAATACATAGGAATTGACTCAACTACGATGTATAATTAAATACAAACTATAATATACAAGATTCAACAGATACCCACGTGTTTATAAAAACACACTTCAGTACAATATACTTACTCCACATTTTGTCTGTAGTGTATTATGACCGCTTAAGAATAAAAAAAAGTGAAATGGCTAACAATTATAAAAATAAAAATTATTTGTAATACACGTGTTAGAATGGTAAAATTTCAATAGCTGAAGAGCACCCAGCAACGTGACTTCAACAGGATGAAGAAGCCGAAAATGAACGACGGTCGGCGTTTGACGTCTGTACCAAACACTAGAGCCGTGGAGCCGTCAAGCGAACAACAAATATGAACAAGGGTTACAATTACTGGGAGCCAACCGAACCGATAGGAATGCGAGGGACGGAAAGTACACAGTGATTCCACAGTATGACCATATAGAGGGAACATTATTGTTCAAATATTTTGGCGGGTTTTTTTAAATTCATGTTTATACGTCACAATCTATGCATTATTTTAATTACTCCGCAATTCTACCAATATTCAATGTTTTGATAAAAATAACCATTTATTTCGCAACATTACAATGAATTAATATCGTTAAAAATTATTGAACGAATCAGTGAGTATTAAAAACGTACAGAAATATTTGTTAAGATAGTAAAATAGTAAAACCATGACAAAATATTTAATAATATTTAATATTTTGTCATGAGTAAAACTATATTAGTAGACGCAGTTATCGTAATACTATGTTTTAGACCACGTAGGTTTTCCTCACCATTTTCAGAATTTGATCACCGAAAAAATGTTATTTCTTCATAAACTCTTTTTATGACCTTGGAAAATGTCAACTTTATCATATTTGCATTAATTTTCTTTTATTCCTATTTTACCTAAGTCCTAAATTCCAAATTTTTAAATATTGTACGCTACATATTTTTCTAATTCATAAAAATTATGTTCCATTTACACACTTTCAGGCTATTTTTTCAATTATCATCCTTTGACATCCTCACTAAGAATAATATTATAAAGTCATTTTAAATCAAAAGAAAATCGTATTTTCTGTTGATTTTTCATTTTCAAGGTCTTCAATTTTAGAATTTTCAAAAAAGAATAATGTGATATATATATATATTCAACTTTTTCAATTTTATATTAAACTCAATATTTTCTTTCACAATCATACAGTCTTTATGTTTGTTTTCTAATTGAAAAACAGTATTATTATTATTAAAATAGTTACAAATAAGAAACAATTTAACACTTATTATTAGCCAATTTTTAAAATCTATAATTTGCACTTTAGTAGTTTTTATTAGTTGCTGAGGATAATACTGAGGATAATACTATGTTAAATACCTTAAAAAGGTTAGTAACCAATTTTTGTATTATCCGATATTTAAAAAAATTTATTTATTTCATAAGTCAAAATAGTAGGTATGTTCAATGCATTATAATTATTGTATTTCCAATCCGTTGATACTGAATTGAGTCCATGCTACTTTTATATGTTTGAATTGAGTCTAGTTTATTTTCTTAATATCTTTGAATTGAGTCCGTATGGATCAAATATCATATTATTTCAACGAAAATGATGTAACCAATATTTCACGAAAGATTTGATGGCAAGAAAACCATGTGATGACGAGAAAATTTAGTTTTACATTTTAAATACTTAGTTTGACGATGACGTTGTACAGTTTCCCTTCAGCATGCAAGCATTAGTCGGAGCATCGGACCACTAATAGTTGTGACATTTTCATGCAAAATTAAATGCATTTTTTCACTCGGGATATCAAAATATTTTTCTTCTGTTAAATTTTCTGGGAATACAATTCTATGTATTGGTTCATAAAATTACGGAGCAAAGCATCGAAACCATGTAAAATTACGTTGGAAAAGAAAACATTTTTACGGGAACAAACAAACAAATTACAAATATATAAAAAAACAAATTCGTATATTTGTTCCAATCACTCAAACGTAGTCCAATGAGTATTGAATTGTCACAAAATGCATATTTTAACATACAGTACCTATGTCAATTGTAATATATTTTTTAGTAGGTAGGTACCTCCCCATGTTATAAATTTATGTGGGAAACATAAGTATATTATTATATAGTATATTTATTTATAAGAAACCAGTAATGTCGCTAGTCATTACAGGAATATAGGATGTTTCCCCCTGATACAGTGGACGTCACCCCCCCCCCCCTCCAACCACCGAACAGAATATAATATACACCTAATATCAGGTGCCCAACGGTATGTAACCAATGAATCACTTCATAAAGACATCTGCATTCCAACCTTAAATAATCTTACTATGATCACCTACAAAAAAACACACCAGACATTCAATACTGAACCACTCAAAACTCAACGATCATCCAAACAAATCCCAGGTAATCCACCAAGGCGCCTGAAAAGGAACTGGTGTAGGGACCTACTCTCTCCTTAAAGCGATTTCCATGGGGTGCCACCATTGAGTGACTTCCCCCTCAAGCCAATTAACCCACATCCCATTTACTTATTGAACTACATGTAAATACAGATTGTAAATAACATTTTCTTTTGTTAAAAAAAAAAAAAAATATGATATAGTTAAATAATACAAGTAAAACAAAATGTAACTTATACTTTTAAACATTAAAAATAATAATATTAGGTTATTCTTATCACTGTTTTTATTATAATGTGTTAACATACAATTATTTACAAATTATAAAATAATAATTAATTACATACTTCTTATTTCTATGTTTTGGATTTAGTTTGATCTTCTATGTGATCATTGAAAAAAATATGACTAATCTAAGAACACAAAACTAAAAAAAGTTAAATGTACTTTTAAGTTTTATAAGTTTTATCATTTAATATGTATGTGTTACAGTTATTAGAAAACAATTTTGTATATTGATTAGTAGGAGTAAAAAGTAGACAATAAAACAAATATTTCCTCAAATACATTTTAAATGTATGTTAATTTAATATTAATACATATTTATACTTCCACGCGCACACAAAATTAAATTGTCTTATTATTACTTATTAGTTATTACATTGTATAAAATTAATTCACAAAATGAATTAACATCTACCAATCAAAAATTAATTTTATTTATATATTTATCTCTGCATAGTTTGTACATGTTCCTTTACTTCTTCAATAAGTTGTACAGATCTTTTTAATTCCCCATATTGTTGGTTGAAATTGGTAGAAACATTTCTTAATTGATTTAAATTATGTTCAGTACGATCAATATTAGATTCTAGTAATGAGAGACTTTTGATGGTTTGATTTAACATTTCATGACTCTTGGAACTTCTGTGGATTTGCTTAATAACTGATGACATATTATTAATGTTTAACTTTACTCGTTCACTTAACAAATTTTTGGAATCACCAAAAAGGGATCTAGCACTTGTGCTAGAGGCTGACGTCATTTTACTAATATTGTATTGTTTGAACAAGTCTATATTACCATAGTCACCTAAAAAATAATTTATATAATAAAAGTTAATGGTTAATGGTTAATAAACTATATAGTTGTGTGTTTTGACAATAATACTATTCCAAAAGCTGATGACCATTGACCAAGGCTCGGATTTTATTGCACTAAAAATAACTGAAATATGCGCTATAAAAATGACCCATACATTTTTTAAATAAGCGCTATGATATGTCCTAAAAACATGAAAAATAAAAATATATTCTGTTCACAATTTAAAAAAATGTGTATTTATTGAATAATTATTAATAAAAGATTGATTATGAATTAAAAGGTATATTTATAAATTACAATATGTAAAAATATAAAATAATTTTCTAGTCAAAAATATATAAATACGAGCTGTAGGTACAACGAATAAGGAATCATAATTAATTAATGTTCAATAGGCCAATGAGCCTGAGTACTTAATAATAATATACTTAATATATTTTAAAATGAACAAAAATGTCAGTATTTTTCATGGGGATTCAAATAATATAGGTACTATAAATTATAATTTAAATAAATGACACACATTTTTCTATTTTTCATACCACATAATATAAACTAGATTTATTATTTATTAAATATACTATTATTAATAATTTATTATATTTAAAATATTGTATTGTTCAAAATTAATAACATTTAGCACCAAAACTTAATAAAATAGGGCTAAAAACCTAAAATACATCAGATATATAAAAAAAATAGCAGTATAAAATTTCTTATTTGGAATTCTTGGTATATAATGTATAGCTTACTTAGCTATTTTTATCTGTACCCTATAATAATTAGCAAATGCTATAAAATCCGAGCCTTGATGATTCCACATCTATAACAAACCAGGAATTTTTATTTTTATGTTTAGATACAATTATAAATTATTCAGATTTAAACTTCAAATTAATCATAATTTTGTAAAATATTAATCAAATTTAATAAATATCATTATGTGCATGGATTACACACCTGATATTGAGTTGAGATAAACCTCAAATGCTACTGAGAATGTAATAGATACATTTATTTTACGAGTAAATAGTTACTATTCACTAGGTAGATACTATCCATTTATTTTTTGATTAAACAATCAATTATAATTTAAAGCTTTTACACAACTTTCAATTATGGTTTTAACTTTAAAAGTAGGTAATAGTTATTTTATAGATATTTTAAGTAATATTAATGAATTAATTATTGTCCATTGGCTAGAATGTCAAATTTGGATTTACGTATTCCCACTTATTACTCAAAAATTTGAACCATTAGATAATTATTACTGTAACTAATACTATATAAGTATGAGTGAGTCGAGACTAGATGTTCCGTTAAGTAAGTTCGGAAGCTGAAAATTAGATTCTTTTAAGCCTGAAGCATGACAAAATAAAGACTTACTTTGTCATGGACTGAAGAGTGAAGATTCAAAATGTAAAACGTAAATACTTATAATTATTTAATTAAGCCACAGGCCATGGCTAAAGAATATTTAATATTTATATTTTATTAAAAAAATATTGTTTGATTTAATCTGAACTCTGATACAATCAATAATTCTGTGCCCCGTGGTAGTAAACATAGTAAAATTAACATTATCAATTAAAAATAAAATAAACTATTTATGAGCCTCAAGAGACAGAAGCCACAGAACATAGTTAAATATTAATCAATAATCATACACATAACATCATAAATATAACCAGACAGCAAATAAAAACGGTTTATATCAGTAGAAACGAAAACGGTTTATATCACTACTATCATGGATGAAAAATATCATATCTGTTCGACTTGGAGTAAACAGAAAAAAACGCTTTTTATCAGTAACATCAATTACTTGCCGCTGAATTCAAATATTTAAAAAATGTTTATTACTCAATTTGATTGATTAATTTATTCAAATTGATAATGTTTAATTATGCATATTTAATACATACAATTAAAACTAAAAGCTAGGAATTTTTTATCCGCGCATATACATTGTTTTATTATAAGTACCTACAGTGAGTATGGAAAACTTGAAATTTTCCAAAGGATAAATTTATCTAATTAGTTGTTCTGTGGTTTAATGTTTCACCCCACTGAACTAAATATTTAGTATTTAGTTCAGTGTTTCACCCACACTGCAATACCAACAACTAAAATTTTAATTACCCGTTGTCATTAATAATAATTTATCACCTATTGGCTATTCCCTAACAACACATAAAGTAACATATTCTTCCCTTCATACCTACTTCCAGTACTTAAATTATTTCTGAGTTGATTTTGGAAAGTATTTTATACACTTCTTTAGAAGTAAAAACGAGCAAGGAGAAGAAATTTGGTAAAAATGAAGCAATTATATCAATATTATCAAATAATTACCTTTTTCGGATGACTTATGTTCATTTGTTAGGCACATATTTGAAATTTGAACTTCTGTAACATTTTCAAATGCAATAATTAGGTATAATTGTAAAATAATTAATAAGTCATGTGAAAGTATTATTTAATTTCTTTTTAAAAAAGATCCGTGATATTAATGCATTATATTTTGTTGATAGGTTTCTAAGATAGTAGTATCTACAGCGGTATGTTATTTCTAACCATTAACCATATTCATGGTCGTGGATCGTATAATTAGAGTAAGAGCATTATCATAGACCTATAGTCTATAAGTTAACTTGGTTATTGCCACGAATTAAAGTATACCTACTTTTAATATATTTAGAAATATTATTTATATATTTAAAATATATTTTAATTCGTGGTTATGGCCATGGCTTAATACACATGGTTATGGCCTTAATGGCTTAATGCCTTATGGATCATTATATATAGAGAATAATATTCCATGAGATGAGGATGTTATGCCTCATGTCTTATGACTGTTATGCTACGATTTATACCAATAAGGACCCCAAAAAAGTAAAAACATCGAACATTACATTTTATATTTTACAGCAGTGTCCGCGTGGTCAACTTTAGTCTTTTGGCCATTCGCTCTCGCTGTGCTGCACTCGTATAAAAAAACGAAAATTTATCTCGACTTGATGGTTGTCAAAATATTTTTAAACACATTTATCATGTAAAGAAAATGATAAAATAAACATTGATGAAAAGAGTTGTTCAATCATGATTGAAAATTGAAGCATTTTTACTGTCCTAAAACGTGATGACACACGCTCATTGTAAAATCAATACATACAAACCAATAGATTCCTTGATATTTGGTTTACAATTTATTTTTCTAACCCTTATAGGTGGTAGGTACTTAATATATAAGGTTCAAGGGTAGCTGCTGTAGTTCAGTTAGAAAAAAAAATGTAATTTTTGATTATTTAAATTGTTGTCATTGTCATTATATCATTATTATAATTTGTAGAAATAGGTACGGCATAGGTACCTATCTAAACATTTTTTCATAAACATATAAAACCAAGTAAACCTCTGGCACTGAACAAGCTCGTTGGCCGGCCGGGGTAGCAAGAATATTAATTATTATAAAATATAAATTATGAACATTTTTTTATAAACACTAAAATATTTCTGTATTTTCGAAATTTTCTATTTTTAGTAAGAACTCCCCATTAATTTTTCAAGCTTTTTAACTCAAACAAAAATGATATAGTATACAAATTGAAAATTTCAAGTCAACAAATGGCATAAAAGGATCCAAAATATTTTTTAAATTTTATAATGCCTACAAATATTTGGTGAACAATTTAAGTTTTTATTTTTATTGACCTGGGATGGCGAACCTTTTCGTAAAAGCGTGTCAAATAACAATTTTGGTAGGATGTTTTTCCTGCGTGTCAACTAGTTCGATAACCATTCAATTTTAAAACTTTAATATTATCAAACTTACATATTCGTGTGTGTCACTTAAATAGTGTGAACGTGTCACCATCTCCGTTATAGACTTCAAGTTTAAGAGCAGTGTTAATGAATTTGCCACCCAAAGGTGGATTTAATTTACCCGCCATTTTATATGCGCTAAATAATAAATAATAACTATAGTATTACACTGACTATTTGTATTAATAATTATAGGAACTGTTTTAATATTTGACCCACCTCTTATACAGTGTACTGCCTATAATTATTTATTTGATTTACAAAAAAACCGAAATAAATTTGATTAGAAACTGGTTTTACGTATAAATTTCAGTTTTTCTCCAATATATTCTTTTTTTTTCCAAAATAATTATGGTAAATATTTTGGCATCCCAAAATACCTATAATACCAAATTTGATAAAGCAAACCATCCCTTTAGTTAAAACATCAATAATTATCATTTTTAATGTTCAAAAAAGTTAGGCAGATTGTCAAGAGGTTATTGGTACCAATACAAGAGGACCCACCTCATTCTGGAAATAATTATTATTCTTGCAGTTCTGTATTTTAGTTCTCTGATTGTCGTAATTTATTGTAAATAAATATAATTTAAAAAAAAATACATTTTTCCTATTCAATATTAATTTAATAAAATATTTTTGATTTTTGCTGTTACAGAAACGTTATTATCATTTTACAGTAGCCGATAGCCATTCGTAATATATTTTTTGAGGATTTTTCTTGCACACTGCATGAAAATGTGAAAAAAAATCAAAAATTACTTTTAATATCTATATTATACAATATTTTCAACAAATAACAGATAAAAATTAGTTGATTGGCCACTGTTCATTTCACCAAAAATAGTATTACAAATATAAAATATTTCAAGTTAAAATTAACACCTTGGTTTCACTTGGAACCTACAATAATATAAATATGTTTTAGTAATAAGATACCTAAAAATACATTTTATGTAGAAAATTAAGCATAACATTACACTCCAAAAAAAGTGGTATAGTGAGAACTAGTAAATAAGAATTTAATAAGCTGTTTTCGGTGGAACAAGTTCAATAGTTATTTAATAAACCATTTTTTACATGACAATATAATTTATAAAAAGTATATATACTTACAAGATGAACCAAATCAAAATTATTAAATTAGCAGAAATTAATAATTTAATAAATAAACAATACAATTATATGAAATACATACTATAATAAAAGCTAACACAAGTTGCTTAAATTTACCTATTTAGTTTTAGTAATAAGGTCTTCGAGGATTATTCTGAAACATTAAATTTAAATATTAAAATTAAAGTAAATTAAATAAAACTTTATTACGTGTATTATAATTCGAACCCTACATTATAGCTTTTATATTGTTAAGAAAAATGTATGTTAATTTATCTTACCAAAGGATTAGGGCGAAAACGATACGCTAACATCATTCGTTTTCGATAAGCATCAAATTCATCATCATTTTGTCTGAGTTCAGATGGTCTTTCAACACCCAAACCATGATTTTCATTATGAGATCCACCTCTGAAAAATACAATTATCTCGTTTCAAAATAAACCAAAAAAATAGCCATTGTACCTATTCAGAAGATTTTAAGATAATTTCAAATATTTAAGGCTATATAATTACTTATTTACAGGCTCGACGATACCAGTACCACTAGATCCTAAACCTTGCCCTTCAGACCACCCAAGTTTTTGTAACATCTGAAAACCTATATTATCTTCTTTTAATTTAAATTCTTTATAATCAGACAAATCAGGCTCTCGATCTTCTCTTAAAGCAGAATACTAAAAATAAATTATATTAGTAAATATATACATAAGTATTACAATAAATTTAAATTAAAAACCTTTTCCATAAACCTAGCAAGTTCATCAGGAGGTAAAAAGTCTCCAATATGATGTTTATCTTTAGACTTTTCAGTTAACTCTTCAGCCCATCTCTCAGTAGCGACCATTTCCTCTTTTCTTAATTTGTGTTCCCATGTACCACCTTCAGTATCTTCATCACTATCATATTCATATTTAAACTTCCCAGCTCTCTGTAAACTTTCTAATTGTTGACGCTTTTTTAACATATCTTGATACAACAAATTAATCTGAAATAATAATTAGAAATAAAATAATATCCATGCATGTATATGATATAATTTAAGAATTACTTTATAATGATCTTCTGCTTTTTTCCAATCTTCTTCAGATAAATTTATTGTTCCAAATGATTGCATAGCATACTGCATTAAAGCAGGATCATTTCTTCCAACTTGACTGATCATGGGTCCAGACATACCAGGCACACCGACTAATTAAAAAAAGGTTAGTAATACGTAAAAATAAAAAGTAAAATATTGAACAGTATTTAATTACCAAGTTTTTGAGCATTAATAGGTTGGGGAATAGTAAGACCAAGGGCAATAGGCATACCACCAATAGTTGAAGTAGCTGGAACTTTAACATTATCATTTGTCCAACGACTTTTACGTTTACGTTTTTTATTAGTTACTTCTTCATTATCAAAGTTTGTAACTAGCATTTGATTTAATAATGTTTGAGGTTTTATCTCAGTTGGTGTTAATTTATTAGCTATCATTTTTGCTTTCAAGTATCCTACTCTTTGTCGAAAAATTGTATAGGCTGGAGAATTTTTGTCCCTCAAAAATCTATAACATTTAACAATAGTTAAGCATTTGATAATTACATATAAAATGATACATACAGTAAATTAACATCTTGGGGTCGTTCTCTTAGTATGATATTTTCAATTTCATCACCATATTCAGCAACTGTAGCTGCCAAACTTTCGACATCCTGATTGTCAAGAACGGCTTGTGGTTCACATCTCATCACTGTATTCAAAGCTAGACAACTCCGAATCAGCTTAATTTGCGATTAAAACGCAAACCCCCTTTCCCAAATTCCCACAAACAACCCAATTTACATAATAAATTATAAATGTATGAATATTTTTATTTATACAAAAACTACAATTTCTCGTAACAGTACCTCTCGGAACCGGAGTGTAAGTTTCAATTGTCTGAGGTGTTGCATTCAACATATGTGCTGCATCTGGAGTTGGTCCCAAGGACACGGTAGACGTTTCAGTTACTATAAGTGACGGTTGCTCATCAGCATTACGAGGTACGGTTGTTGTTGTTGTAGTATCTGTAACTATTGTAGCTGTAAGTGGAGGAGTTTGCAACGGATATTGTTGATAAGGACCATGAGGAATAGTCATCTGTAATATAAAAATTATATTTATTTGAATACCATAGTATACTAGTTGTTAATTTATTACTTTTGAATTATTTTGTGTTATAAATACTGGATTTTGTGTCTGATACATTGAAGTTGGTTGTGAAATTTGTAAAATTGGATGTGTGGTAACTATTGATACAGTAGGAACTTGAACCACAGTGGTCTGAGGTTGAGTTTGGATTGAAGTTACTTGAACAGATGGAGTGTTATAAAAGTTGGGTGGTTGGTATGATTGATTAATATTATATCCAATAAAATGATGATCTGGAATAAAGGGCTCCGGTTCTTTAAATGCTTCAGGGCAATAATTTGACTCTAAAACATGATTAATATAAATTATTAAAATAAATCTATGCAAATTAAAATTGCAATAAAATTCTACATTTTTACTTATTTATTAAATTAATATTATACTCTGAGGGATTCTTTAAAAAGTGAAAATTCATAATATTGAAAAGTAATGTTTTAGAAAATGTTTATATTTTACTATTTTTTATCATTAAAATTTGTAGTTTAAATCTTTCAAGCAACATAATTTATTTGTTTTAATTTTATATTCATTCATCTAAACTTTAAATACTTATAACTAGAGTGTGGATTTAAATTCAAGTTACACATCTTTAAAATACAATTAATGCTGTTTTTAATGACTACAAATTGTTTTAAAAACAGTAGTACTACCTACTAATACATTGGTAGATGATTGTTTACTGGTAATACAATTGTCCTATAAATAATTTCATCAACAATTGCCCTACAATTTTTTCACAAAGAATTGTACATTCCCCGAAAAAAAATTAAATGCTTTTTAAAAATTTCAATGATATTATTCAGATGTCTTAAAATATTCTTATTTATACCTAATTTTGGTCCATGTTCAACTTCTGGTTCAATATTATTTTCAAGATCTTTTGTATCTAAAAAATATACAAATTCTGATGTATAAATTATTTAACAAAAACAAAATGTGTAAAAATCTTATAAAGATGTAAAGAACAAAACACGATATGATTTTAAATATTTATAAAACATCTAAGAACAGAGAATAGGAAAAAAAGAATTTGAGAAACTTAAGGTGGCTATGATGTTTTAAACTGCATTATGATACATGTTGAATGAAACTTTATTTTTAATCAAATTCATTTGAATAAAAAGTAATTATGCTGAAGAGAAAAGAAAAAAATGATAACATGATTGAAGCCTGAAAAAGGAAACAACAATTATTCACATATAGTCATATTCTAATCAGTAATTCTGGAATATTCATGCAGTATACACCATTGGATGCCTACCCTATAAGATCATATTTATTTACAATTTTGTAAGGAACTTGCCAAGGTTGAAACGTGTACCATAAAAAAAACATAAAAATATATAGAAAATCAAATTTTACCAGAAATTTCACTTTTTTCAAAAACTTCGGCTAAACTAAGTTTATTTTTATGAGCTCCTGTTGACTCATATGGTAGTTCTTCATTAGAACCTTTAGCTGGAATTTCATTCCTGTTAAACCAAATAAATATATGTAAAAAAACTATTTATGAGAGTAACAAAACCATACTAACTAACTTTTTTGTACTCCTGGATTTTTGATAAAATGATTTAATTTTGTCTAATTTTATTGCATTTTTAGTAATAGCCAAAGGTTTTTGTGATTTCTTTTCTCCAGTTAGTTCAGCAATTTTCTTTTTTTTTTCTTCAAACCTAGCTTGAATTTCACGTTTTTTCTGTTCAATTAATTGTTGTTGCTTTGACATTTCTTGAAAGCGTTCACTTCGTGACTGTTTTGATGGAGTTGTTTCAGAAAACTTACCATTTCGAAACATTGTTTATAATCTTCTTATATGCACTATATACAGAATAAACTAATATGAGAATTTGGGAATATGTTTACAAAATAATAATAATGATAAACACAGTGGCATAGCAAGACCTAACTGTTTGAAGGGAGCAGCTCCCACCAATCCAAATTTGAAGAAAATTTAAAAATGCATTCCGTATATATTCCGTACTTATTAAGTAAAATGTAACCATGAAATAAAATTATTTTCCGTATGACGGTTGTTGTAAGTCTAAAATTTATCTTTACTGCATTCGAATACCTACAAAATAAACCATAGACATATTAATATTAATATGTCTATGAAATAAACGACCAATCTTAGTCAATATAAATAACGAATTATTATACCCCCCCCCCTCCCTAAAACGATAAAATCCTAGAAACGCCACTGGGAAAAAAGTTAGAATAAAATAAATATAAGATTAATTGTATGCTTGTATTTAGGTATAATTAAATGCACTTACAGAATAAATAATAATTTTTGTACGTCTAATTGAAAAGCTAAAAAGTAGAAATTTGTGTTTAGAATCAGTATTATGAGTCAAATAACATCATAAAAGTAGAATCAAATTATATCTTTAGTATTATGTTTATAAATTTTTGAATTAATGTCAACACACAAAATTATATTTTTAAATAAATAAATGAATATCAATAAAGAATAAACGCATTACTGAACAATGGGTTACATTGCCTAAATTGTAAAGAATAATTGTCACTTGTCAGAGTTCTGAAATAGTAAAATCTGAAAAGTGAAAACCATGAGATACCCAATTTCTATACGAAACTCTTATGATATTGTTTGTTATCACTTATCAGTAACAAAAAGTAGACAACGGGGCACTGATAAGTCAAAAATAAAAAGTAAAATTTCATCAGATATTCAATATTATTCAGAAATTCAATATTTCACACATAAATTCGTAATAAAATTATAAATTATATAAATGTGTATATTAAGATAATGAATGCTTTTTCGTTTTTCAAAACAAAAAGATAAAATATAAATATTTTTACAGTTGATGGATTATAAAGGTTTATTTTTGATATAAATATATATTTTATGAATAAAAATGTATGTATTTTATAAAATTTATGATTTGGATTTTCAGATAAAACAATGCGTAGATCTCACGGAGGAAATTATTATGATCCACTGCCTTCAAACAGTTCATATGGTGGTGAGTTTATTGAAACAGAGAATGATGAATTAACAGAACAACTAAAAGATAAGGTGAACACTTTGAAGTCTCTCTCAATTGATATTGGTGCAGAAGTAAAATATCAGGACCGCTTACTAAGAGATATGGATCATGATTTTGAAACTACCGGAGGATTTTTGAGCAATACACTTGGTCGAGTTACAAGGCTTAGTAGAAATAGTGGAGGCTATAATATGCTATATCTAATTTTATTTAGTTTGGCAGTTTTTTTTGTACTATATATATTTTTAAAACTGAAATAGAAATGTGTAATGTAAAATATATTTATTATTATTAATTAATGGGATTGGTAATCAAAATTCCATGTTTTTGAATTATATAATGATACAAATATTTAAATGATATGTATATTTTAATAAATAAATATCAGGTTTTACTTTTTAAATTTTTGTCACGGGCGCTCATACATTTTATCTAAAAAAAACTCTGATTAATATACTGTTGTTTGTTGTTAAATTATTAATAAATGTGAAATGACTAAACATTTTCTTCAAAATTGAAAATCATTCAGTCAAACATTTAAAAATTGTCTAATGTTAATAATTGTGAATACATATTATATGGTCATATTACAGAACCATAATTCATTGTTTTCTTTTAGCTATTGAAGAGATTTGTTATTATAGTTCTTCCAATATGTGAATATATTATGCTAGACAGAAGTTAATTTTCATTTGTGGATTTAAAATTAGGAATATTTTTAAATAGATATGTAACCAAAAATGTAAAGATATGTAGTATTGTTCAATGTGAGAAAAAAGCACTATTTTATAATCATTGTATATAAAATGTTATATTATGGCATATTTTAAAGTAAATTAATTATAATCTATATTCTTCTTTACATTGAGTTATAATGTTCAACCGCAGGCTTTATACAAAAATTATGTGCATAATGAGTAGGTATGAGTGTTGTATACAACAGTAGCAAGGGTTAATGGATAATATTTTTCTATGTTAACATTGCAATAGTAGGCAGTAGTGAAAGTCTCTTATGATTTTATATTTTTATATGAGAAACTATTTCAAAGTTGAAGTTTAAAAGTTGTCATAGAAGTTTTTTTTCAAACTCTAAAGTTATCCTTCTATCTATAATATTATAATAGTATTTGCTTTTTTTTAAACCTATTTTTGTTTAAATAAATCCGAGTTTTTATTATCAACGGTGGTATTGTATAACGTTACCATAATTATTCAAATATAAATAGTGTGTAATGATGAATGGGTATATAAATAAAATATATTATATTACCTAAAGGTATTTGTCTCATATTATTCGCGATTAAAAGCATATTGTACAATATTACAAATTACAATAATAATACCATATATATATATATATTAATACTATATACATACATACTATACTACAATTTTACACCTGCACAACACGTCTCCGTCACACAAATATGCAACATGGCAAAAACTATTTTGCGCGGGACAACTATAATACTCCTTCTGTGTTTATAGCACGATTAAAGATATACTTATCTTTAATCGTGGTTTATAGGTATTAGAATTAGTAAAATTCGGAGAACTTTATCCGTGTCGTAGCGTTTTTATTTTTTCGATAGCGCTAATCAATAATGTTCAAAAATAAAATTAAAAAAACCAAATGTTCCCAAACTGATAACTTTTAAGTTTTAATGTATTTATGCGCAGATGTATAAAAACATTAAAAACTCCGACATAGAAAACGTTTTCCCCTATGCATTGTGGAATTTTGGTATTTCCACTACAAAATATAATTATACAGAGGAAGTACTCAAGTACCTATAGTCATACGCGCAGAACAGTTTTTTCAATACTTTGCCATGTTTTTCAGATTTTGTAAGACGAAAACCGCTGCGGGTGAAGCGTGACTAGCGTGAGCTTAAACTGCTTAAAGAAATAATCAAGGCGGATTTTAATCCATTTTGGATAATATTAATTACGTCTTTAATCAGTTTTATTCGTTGACATAATATAGGTATTATACCTTATACCTCAGTTTCGACAGTATCGTGCTCATAAGTCATAACACAGAATTAATTCACATTTCACACTATTTATAATTGTCTCATAATATATCTTCCACTATTTATTTATTTCACTGAATCTGTAGTTGATAACCGCCCGAAAAATGATAAGGACACGGTCTGAAAGTAATCTTAAATTGTGTAAGTTATTAAGTTGTAACTTATAACTCGGCTGTTTCTTAAATGGTAATCACTAATCATACTATATCCATTAGCCGAAATCCGTGCCTATTGCCCATCATAACTCATCTACAATTTACAGTATTGAGCTATTATTATATGATGTTCATCGTTCATGGTATTGAGTATTGACTTGACATATTTCGTAACAAACGCACAAGTGAGTAGTGTCAACTAAACTCTGAACCTACAATTTTTCCACCAAGTTCGTGCTTGACAACCGACAAATACTTATGAAACGAGTAAACGACAATATTTGAAAGTACCTATTTGGCATTAAAACAATTAGTTTGTCGTGATTTATCGAGTCCATGAATCTCAATCAATTTTATGCTGATATACATCATTTTAATAAATAATTTAATATTAATATTAAAATATTTAGTAGATACCTACAAAAAAAATTATTTGTAAATGTGAATAATAGTAAAACGTGTTTGCTTAAGTTTAAATATCATTCTATTACTTCACTAAAAAAAAATATTTATTCTCATTTATTATGTAGTTAGTTTTTTTTTATACAAATAACGATAAATTAACTGTTCAATTATGCAGTGGTAAATTATTTAATTTTTGTTTAGGACTAGGATTGCAGAACATAACAAATTACAAATAGAGTAAAATGTCTGATAATGAAAATCCTATTCCATCTCCGACTTCATGTAAACTATCGCATATTTCTAACAAAATGTATACACCTTGTCGTACAGTAGGACTAAAGAGGAAATCCACAGGTACATTAACTCCCAAAACTATACCGAAGAAAATTAAAGTTATTGATGAAACATCAAAATCAATTACATTTGCTGAAAATGCAGCTACGCAAAATATTAAACCAAAAAACAAGTCTATTTCAAGATTGGAGTTTAAAGATGAGACAAATTTACTAGACAAACACCGTGTAATAGAAGAACTCAAGTCTGAACTCAAAAATAGTGAACAGGTTGTTTTATCATTAAAAGTATAGTAAGCTATTACAGTTTAAGTAAGGGGCTCAAAAGTGAATATTATAAGACTACAAAATATTATTAAGCTACTCTAATCTTTTCTAAAATAGTAAAGTATGTAGGTACTTTTTTTATTTATGAAGCAATAAGATTGAAGTTCAATACCAGCTAATATTCCTAATATTCTACTCACACCTATATTTAAAATGCTCAGTCTTGTTTTAAGTTAATAACTACAAAATTTAAATATAATTTTTGTCTAAAATAACTATTATTTATTTGTATTTTTGAGTCCGTTTAATTCTGAAAGTATTTTAAATGTATATTAATTAAATATTCTTTTCCATCAAATTTATTAAATGCGTTTCAGAGTTTAATCCAAACTATTAATTTAATAACATTGATATCAGCCAGCTACATCATCATTTAAAATTTATTATAAGTACATATTTACAGATTCATAAAACATTATTATTCAGCTTACTTGTATGCTCAATTCAAATTAAATTTTCCAACTTTTACACCTGCCTACTGAGCCTAGTAAATTGAAAATAATCTAATACAGCCCATTACATATACATCTTGTGATAAAGCAACCTTCGACACCATTTATCGTAGGCAGTAATATTTGTGAGATATTATGTGAACATTAACCCCCTCCCTGTTTTTGACTGTAGAGTGGGTAAATCTGATTTAAATAAAGCATAGTGATCTTCACTACCTATTTTATTCTTCTTTTCAAATTACTTGTGTGTATTAAATCATTTTAAATGTTTTCAAAACTATACAATTGTGATTATCCTATCTAGTCTTAATGTATATACTGAGGAAAATTGTGTTTGAAACCAATTGCCTCCATATTTATTTAAATTTTGATTAATTGTAATCCAATCAAAGTATTAGTCACTAATTATTTCTTACATTTTTTCTTTTACAGCATAATTTAGATCAAATAAAGAAGCTATCAAAAAAATGGTTAAATGTTTGTCAAGAGGCTTTGACATCACTATTCAATAAATTAAATGAAAATGGAAATTCCAATTTACATACTATAGAAGATTTAATTAGGAGTATAGGTATCTGTCCAGATTTAATTCAATTTGATTCAAATAATCAAGAGTTTTACTAAAAAGAATATAAATACTATATGAACAAACAATTTAATTATTATTTAGTTCTTTAATTTTAGTTAATCAATCATCAACAATAAAACAATGTTCTGAATTATTTATGAATATTCTAATTTCTTTTTCTTTTTTTTTTATTTGAAGCTCCATAACTTTTGAAATCTGTATAAGAAAATGGACGAACATTTCCATTAGATTTCTTTCCTTTGTTTTTGTTGTATGATCCTTGTGGCTCATTTTGTGTTTTATTCTTCTTCATTTGTTTGTTCATCTTACCTTTTTCCAAATTTTTATCTAATGATCGATGAATACCTTTGCCACCAGCTGAAAAATATATTTTTTTTAGTATTTATAATAAATATAATAAAATAATTAATTTAACATACGAGTATATTTTAATCGTTTTTTTGATGGCATGTCATCATCACTGAAGTTGTCCTCAAGATCCTCTTCTTCAATACCTTCTTATTTAAGGTAAAAATAAATATATTTATTTAAATTGTATTTGTTATGTCTATACAAATCTTTATAAATTATAACTTATTAATGACAAATCAATGCGATAGTTAAGAATATTTAGAGAAAAAAAATAAGTTCAATACTCTAAAAATGGTGATTTAATTGTTTTAATTAATGTTGTGTTATGTAATCATAATAATTCATATAGTATATTATTATAATCTTACCAGACTTTGTTGGTGCTTGAGGTTCATCTGTGATTATAAGGCGTCCGTCAGGAGCAGTTTTTATACTATCATCAACATTGGATGACTTATGAAGATTTGTATTATGTTCACTTTTAGGTTTTGTCACTACTCAGGGAAAAATTCATTAATTAAGAAAAATAAATTAAAAATGAATTTTAACTTACTCAAAATTTTTCTATTTGAAGTTGCTTCAGTAAAATCTAATATATCATCTTCACTTTCGTGCAAATAATTATCAGTGGATTTTTTCTTTCTGCCTTTTTCTTGTTTAGGTTTTTGATTTTGTTTTAAATTAGTTTCTAATTCATCATCTTCTTCACATTCAGCTAAAATCTCCTCAAATCTAATACAGTAAATAACAAAAGTTTGTTATTAATGATATTATCATATAAGGATTATAAATAAATAAGAATATTATAAACATACGTTTTAGGTTTTGTCTTAAGACTAAAATCAACTTCAACTTTATCATTATTTTTCTCTTTAGTTCTTTTTTCTTTATTTCTCTTTAATCGTTCAGATTCTTTATTTATGGCACGTAAGCGTACATGTGTTTGAAAATCAGTATTCGGTACCATTTGTATAATAAGTTGTGTACCAAATTTACGTACCAGTCTTTGGTATATACTTTTAGTTTCCTGACGAAATTTTCGTTTACAATCTTCTGTCATTTTTGAAAGAGAACTCAACTAAAAATAAATAACATTTTAAATTAACATAATAATATTAAATATACATATATATTTTAATATTGGTATGTATTTCATTTATTACACATTTGCCCTTTACTTACTTCATTGATTATGTTAAAAATATAACTGAATTTATGGTAATAGTATAATTAACTTACACACATATCTAGAAAAATAATTCTTACTGGATAGATGCCAGTGACAGTTTTGGGAGTGATGCAAGCGAGGCATTGCCTCCATATTTTATTTTGGAAATTAAAATTATTTGTTAATTTTATATTGGTACTATTTTGAATTGTATTCATATTTAATTACAGCTTCGCTACTCACTAGCCCCTAATTATCTGGTGAATTCATAGAAGTATGTCACAATAGATAACTGAGCTAAAATAACAAAGGCCACCAAAAAAAATGCTATGCATTGTTGTCTGATATGTGTGTACACAGCTGTTGATTGTCTTTTTGTGATTTAATCTAAGTCATAACTGGTCATTGTCTAACTTTTCCTCTATTATCCATAAGCCAATCAATGATACTTTATACATGTGTCACTGTGTTAGGTTATTAGAAAATAATGTATTTAATATTTAATTGACTCGTAAGAAAATACATGTCAAAACCGCTACTGATAGATGCAATCAATTAACAATAGCTTTTTTTAATAATATTATTCTTTAAATATACATTTTTTGTGTTTATCATACAATAAATATGATTGAGCACATTAATATTTAATAATTATTTAGCTTACAATTGTTGAAAGGTAGGGCATCAGACCATCAGAGAATGAAGTAATCATAACTTTGATAAAGCTTAAAGCAGAGCTAACCACTTCTCTAGTTCCAGTTGTAATAAGTAAGCAAATATTACTTAAAATTGTTTCAAATTGAGTTGAGTTAAGTTCATCTAAAATAAACATAATACAGTTCAACATCCAATTTTTAGTTAATTTATAAGTTTCCTTTTTACATCATACCTTTACGGTTGTGGAGAACTGAAGCTAATGCTAAAATTGTACAACTGATCATTGGAATTGAACCAGCTAATCCTGCTGATAGAGCATTTAAAAAGTTTTCTAAGCCATTCTCAACTTTAATTGCTAATAAAGCCATTTTATTTATCAATGCGAAAGCACATTCACGACATCTTTTATTAACGGTGGAACCTTTACAGCAAAGTACAGCTTCAGGGAGATGAGTTAATATACTTTGAATCACATTGTCATCATCAGTATGATCTAAGAGATGTGCTAAACATCGTAATCGAGGCTAAACATTAAATTTATAAAATATTGATTAATATTTAAAAAAAAAAATGTATTTAAAATATAAACAGTTACCCCACGACTAGTAGCGGCAGCATTTTGAGCTGTTGACAATATGAAGTTTTGTATGTTTTCAAAATTTTTTTTTACAAATTTATTGCATGTTGGAGACTTAGAACTGCATATTTCTTCCAGAATCCTATTCCAATTTTTTTTTTATTATTTTAAATGTTACTATGAAATTACTAAATACTAAATAGTAAATTATATATATTATGCATAGAACCTAAAATATTTTTTTTCTTCTTTGAAATTTTTCAATTGTTTGGCTTTAGAAATTCGAGAATCAAAAAATGATTTCAGTGTTTTAACAGATTGGTAAGGTACTAATACTCCAATAATATCCAGAATGCTTTCTATCACTGTATGTTCAGAATCTTTAGAATTATCCAGCATACCACAACATTTGTTAAATAACTGTTCTTTTATTTCATCGTCTGACAATGTTAAATACATCTGTAATAGTAAATGAAAACAACTAGGTAATTCAGTTAATCAATATAAAATTTGATTTAATTTACTTTGATTGTTTCCAAAGCAGAAAATCTAGTAGCTTGTTCGTCTGTACCGTGAGCAGGGTTAGTATATAAATTCAAACAGATTGGTAAAAAGTTTTTTGCAAAGTAAGATAGTTGTTCTTTATCATCAGGCACATCATCATTTTTAGAAACTGAAGCTATAAGCTTCCTCAATGACACAAGAATTGTATCTCTTAACTCCTTACGAGAACTTAACATAGTACCCATAGTTCTGGCAATAATCTACAACATAAGTTTGAAATATTAAGATTTATATAATACACAGAGGTTATTAATTGAATATACACTCTAATTTAATGGCTATTTTTGTTTTCTACAAAAATTGATAGCTGACCAAGGCATTGAACCAATATTTGTTCAATATTTTACCTACAAAAACGTAGAAATCTATAATACACAATTTGTGGTCTTAATCAGCAGCGTATTCACGGGGGGGGGGGGGGGGGGTAGATTGCATCTTGGTTTTTATTCAGTAGTTTTTCCATTTTTGTAAAAGTAAAAAAATATTAGTAAATAGATATTAAATGCCTTATCTCATATCTTAAACAATTTCTAAATATGCCGCTGGCCTGAATGTGATCTACCAAATATTTAGTTATTAAACATAGTATGTAACATATATGTATTTTACTTTACCCGAAACGATGTGGATATATCAGAAGGATTCGAACAAAAACTAGCCAATAACGACCAAATTTGTGATTCCAGAAGATCATAACTAATGGCAGTTATTTTATCATTAGCTTTTAAGGCATTTTCGTACATTTCTCTAAAATAAATAGAAAATTAGTTAAGAAATATTATTTTAAATATTTTAGATTTGAATACTTACCGACATTTTAGTGCCAAAGGTAAAAAGTGGTCTATATAGCATTTAAGAGTAGAGTTTGAAATACTATCTTTTAAAACGGGTAATAACCAACTACGCTTAAATTCTCCTACATCATCCACCTAAAACAAAGTGTTGATTTAGTTTAAAAATAATAATCAATGGTTAAAAAGCTCTATTTTTAAACAAAAATATCATATGGCGTTTCTTACTGTTTTACTATAAAAAAACATACTTTTAATGGAATAACATTATCTGAGATAATATATTCAGGCCCAATATACTTGATACCAGCTCCAATTGTCATTTCTAATTCATTAACAAATGTAATTTCATTGGAATCTCTAAGCTGCCCCAATGATTTGATACATTCTAAGAATATACTAGGGGCACATTTTCCATAAAACTGTAATATCATAAAAATATATTTTAATGTTTATAAATACAATTTAACAATAATTATTATTTATACCTTGAAAAATGTAGACAATGTATGTAAAACTTGAGGACAAGCATTTTTATACTGATATGATAAACACTGAGTTACTAAATTGAATAGAACAGAAACACTTTGATGATAAGTTGAATCAGTAGCGTGTCCAATACACTCTTCAATAAGAATACGTAATGTAGAGCCAGATGCTTTTAATAATTCTGAATTGCCATTAACCCAAAGTTCAATGCATACTTTAAATATTCTTTTTAGGTGGGAGATGCATAATAATAAGTCACTCCTACAAAAAAAGAGTGTAAGTTAATAAACATATATTATTTTACATTTTAATTTTTAAACAAAAGTGGTTTTTACTTTGATAAACAAATGTATGCTTCTTGTTGGACAGCTAACCAAGCTAAAGTAGGTTGTGTATCCATTGGTGTAGGACGATAATCAAAAAGAGCCATTAACAACTTGGCATTTAGTGTAGATGAAAGAACAAGTTCTGATGATGGGTAAGAAACAAATAATCCATGGAATACTTGAAAGCCACACGAAAGCAATAATGGATGGTTTAAAGTCATCAACTTTAAGACTTCTTCACAAAGCGGCTAAATTAAAAATATACATTAATACATAATTGTTTTAAACAAAACTGTTAAATATTATTACTTTGAGTTCTTTTTTAGGAAAAATGGGCATCAATTCCTTTAATAAAGTTAAAACATGAAGAATGGTTGTTGTGTTACTAGCTGTTGTGCCCGATGTTAACACTTTAGTACAATATGTAGCAGTATAACCTGACATAGGATGCATTACCTCTTTGTTAGATTTTAATATAGCACACACTGCATGTTGAGCAGCTTTGCGAATCTAAAGGCCAAGATAAAATATTTGTTATGTTAAGTTATGAAATACAAATTTAAAAAAAATATGTGTGTAAATGTTCAAGTATGTTGCAAGTAATCATACTCCAGTTCATACATTTTTCAATTTGTAGTTTGCCTTTGAAACTTAAATTCAATATTTATTTGAATTAAATTGTTCAGAAGTTTTACATGTTTATTTTATGAATTTGTAATTTCACAATGAAGTAGTTTATAAAATACTTCAATATACAATGATATAACAAATAATTTAACTTACCTTAGGTTTTGAATGTATAATAAAATTTAAAATTGCATCATATACTTGTACTGTAGAACTATGTGACCAAACAATTTTTTCTTGTATACGAAGCAACAAAGATAAACAACTAAATACCTATAAAAAATATTATAATACTATAAGAAAATACTTCTTAAAAAAAGTCATAAAATCTAACCGATTTTAATAAATTATTATTATCAGATTCAGCAAACTTTGCTAGTGTTGTTAATAAAGTTTGAGTAGTTGGTCCAAATTTAGTGCAAAGAACCTCTTTGGGAACACATTTCATACCCATACTTAATAATGAAACCATAGCTGTAACACTATCTTCACAATCATCCTGTCCATTACTTAAGGTTGTTTGTAAAGTAGTAATCTAAAAGTAAAGTTTTCAAAATATAAGTTCTTCAATGTGAAAAAATAAAAAAAAGGTACTTACAAGTGCTGCAAAATACTCAGTGGAAGTTTCTTTGCCACCATTAGCCTTAATCACTTCAGTTAATGCTGCAAGTATGGCTAACATTTCTTTATGTAAATAAGAGTTTGAACTAAAATTTTTTAGTAACCTAGAATAATTAATTTAAGTTAGAAGTATATAATTATAATTCCATTGTGAAACTGTCACTTCCACTTGAATTTAAAAAAATATATTGAAATTTATGACAAAATCATTAAATGAACAATTTCAATTTTGTTATTTAAATAAATTTCAAAATACCTACCTGTTATTTTACAAAATTGAAATATTAATATTTTTAAGAGTGCTGATTTTACATTCAGTAAAAAGACAAATAAAATGAATAAAAATTTTACAATAAACCTCTCCAAAAAGTATCTACAATCATTTTTTTTAAGGCCTAGAACTAATTAGTAATTAGAATAAATCTAATTCTAATTTTTTTTTTTTTATTAGCTATTAGTACTATGATAGCTCAACATAAATAACTATAATATAAAATAAAAAACCATTCAAATTGTTCATGGCAAAAATGTGATGAATATCATACTTTTCAATAAAAGTACTAAAACAATAAAATTCAATTTTTTGGGAGGAAATGTATCAAGCACTGCCAACAATTAACAATTTGTCTATAAGCTCAGAATGGGTATGTGATTTCAGAATAAACAGGCAAGAAGTTTGTTTAGCAAATTAGTGATATTTGACTGAGAATTGATTGATTAGTTATTTATTATTGAAACAGATTTTAGTAAGTTGACTGTTAATGATCAACATAATTTTAAAAAGTCTTTGGCCACTTTTGCTCTTTAAAGGATGACTATAAAATACTTAATACTGAATGAGATATTAAATAAAACTTTAAAATATAAAAACAATTAAATATGCAATGTTTATTCACCTATTAAAAGATGGATTGGTACACGAGCTCCAGTCAGAAGCAAATGTCTCAAATGTTTTGTAAGTCGACGCAGAAGTATGAGACATAACATCATCTGGTTTAGATTTGTTGAAATCATAACTGTTCGTAATATTATCATGCTCCTTCAACTTATTTTGAGTTAACAAACTTTTTCCTTCATTTCGAATAGTTCCTGGAGCAAGGTAAAATTGTTTGGACTTATTATTAAGGTATAGTTCATCTAAAATGTTAAGTACTTACCAAATATTGGCTTGCAAAAATTCATTTGAGCTTGAGAACGATATTTTTTTGAATCTGGATTGGTGACTGAGCTTTGTCCTTTTACCCATCGTTTACCTTTAGACTTCAGTTTTTTTCTAAACTTTGCCATGATTACTCAATCCAACAGAATTCAATTAATAAAAATTAAAAAATTAGATTAATGGTTTGCTACTTGGCTATACAATTCTGCGCAATTCTATCCTCTACAATCAATTTTCCACATAGTGTAAGAAAATTGTTTAAAATAATTCCCATATCACAAAATTGTAATATATTATAAGCACGTGGATAAAATGTCAAGGACGTTGTAAACTTAAATATTATTATACCGCAGAGTATCTATGTTACCCGTAGATATTAAAGAATATATGATATTATCATTCTTGACTCTTGTATCATCTATGGATGTAATCCGTGCCGTGGACGACAGTGTTGTATACGTAAATGATACAAATCATGGCTGAATGTTAGTCATTACCAAAATATGCCAATATTAAGCGTGTATACAAAGTATCGTAAACATGACGAACACTCCCCAAATAGAACAAAAAAAAAATGGTCAGAGTATATCTAAAGAATCATAATAAATTTCATTATTGAAGGGAAAAATGGAAAGGGTGCGCACGCTGGGACATTTATTATTGTTCCACAAAACACTTGTTCCAGTGGACTTTTGTTCCACAAAATACTTTTTCCAAACGTGGAATAAGGAATTTGTGGAACAAAAGTCCACTGGAACAAGTGTTTTACGGAACAAAAGTATGACGGGACAAATATTTTGTGGAACAAAATCGCTTGGAACAACTATTTTGTGGATCTTAATAAATCTGGATCATAATTTTTGTGGAA